CTGTTGATTTTCGATCTTCAGCATCCCTACACCAACTCGAATCAGTGTATCCCACTAACTTGCATTCTTTTCCTTTATCAGCTGCAGGAAACAAAATGTCTTAGTCGAGAGTTCTCTTGAGATACTTTAGTATCCTCTTCACCGCTACTAGATGTGATGCCTTTGGCTTCTACATGAATCTACTTACTATACCTACACTATATGCTAAACCGGGCCTTGTATGACAAAGGTATCTCAATGATCCAATAAGTCTTCTGTATTGGATTGGGTCGACATCATCTTCATCTGCATCTTTTGACTATTGCAGTCTTGGTTCTGCAAGTGTCGAAGTTGAGTTGCATTCTTCCATATCAAATCTCTTGAGAATTTGTATTGCATATCTTCTTTGATGCATCATCAAACCTCTACTGCTCTTGTAGAATTCGATGCCAAGAAAATATGAAATTTCACCCAGATCAGACATTTCGAATTCCTTGCTAAGATCACCTTTGAAGTCTTCGATCTCACTTTTGCAGCTACTTGTTATCAACAAGTCATCGACATAGATACATAGTATAAGAAATTCACTATTTCTTCTTCTTACATATACTCCATGTTCAGTTGTGCACTTCACAAATTCCTTCTCCCTTAGGAAACTATCAATTTTCTTATTCCAAGCTCTTGGAGCTTGTTTCAATCCATACAGGGCTTTATGAAGCATATACACCTTTCTCTCTACGTCATTTTTAACAAACCCAACTGGTTGTTTAACATAAAATTCTTCGTCTAAGGGTTCATTCAGGAATGCACACTTCATGTCCATCTGATATATGTGCCATCTGTTTATTTCTTCTAGACCAACAACAAACCTAATTGTTTCGATCCTAGCAACAGGTGTAAAAACTTCATCGAAGTCTATTCCTTATTTCTGAGAAATCCTTTCGCCATAAGCCTTGCTTTTTGTCGAGTTACTTCCCCTTTGGAATTCATTTTCACTTTGTATACCCACTTAACATCAATTGCCTTCTTGCCTTGAGGCAATTCGATAAGTGACCAAGTATTGTTGTGTTCGATAGACTTCACTTCTTTGTCCATTGCTTTCACCCACTTCGAATCCTTCAATGCTTCAGCTGCATTGACAAGTTTGACATCTGCATAGAAAGCATAATGTACCAACTCACCTTCATTATCTATCACATCATCTGATGTAATCACACAATCTTGCAATCTTGCAGACACGTGTCTTGTTCTTTGAGGTCTGCTTGTACTTGATTAATCTATAATTGCTGGTTCCTCTTGTCGAACTTCTCTTTCGACTTGAGTTTCTGGTTCTTCAAGTAGGATTCCCACTGAATCTTTCTTGACATTTTCAGTCCAATCCCATTCTTTAAGCTCATATATGATCACGTCCCTGCTGATCACAATCTGCTTGTTCACTGGGTCGAACAACTTGTAACCTCCTGTCGAATAATATCACTAGAATCATTTGACTCGACTTGTCATCAAGTTTTCTTCTCAACTGATCTAGCACATGTCTATATGTAATAGATCCAAATACCTTCATATGACTCAAGCTAAGCTTCACACCAGACCAACATTCTTCTGGAGTAATTCCTTCTAGCTTCTTCGTAGGACATCTATTCAAAATATATGTTGTAGTCGACACAGCTTCACCCCAAAACTCTTTAGGTAAATTCTTGCCTTTCAACATACTTCTCACCATATTCATGATGGTTCAATTCTTCCTTTATGCAGTTCCATTATGCTGTGGAGTATAGGGTGGAACCACCTCATGCATAATCCCTTCCTTTCACATAACCTGTCGAACTCTTTCGACACATACTCCCAACCACCATCAGTTCTCAAAACTTTGAGTTTTCGACTACTTTGTCTTTCGACCATATACTTAAACTTGGCAAATACCTCGATCACTTCACTTTTCTTCTTGATCAGGTAAGTCCACAACTTTCGATTGAAATCATCTATAAATGTAACAAAGTATTTGTTACCTCCCATCGAATTCACCTGGATTGGTCCACATACATCAGAGTATATGACTTCAAGAATAACCTTCGACATGCTTCCCGCATCCTTTCTGAAGCTATTCTTGTGATGCTTCACCTGCACACATGACTCACATACCTCATTTGGAATGTCAATTTCTGGAAATCCTGAAACCATATTTCTTCTCTTCAAATCTCTGATATCACTGAAGTTGAGATGGCCTAGTCGATAATTCCATATCCATTCATCTCTGCTAGCTACAGTCGAGAGGCACTTGTGCTCCATCACATTTAGTTCGATCTTGAAGGTTCTATTCTGAGACATATGAGCCTTCAAGATTAATCTTCTATTTGTGTCGACGACTCTCATCATCTTATCTTTGATCGACACTTTATAATTCTTTTCGACCAACTGTTCTATACTGAGCAAATTGCTCTTCATGCCTGGTATGTACAACACATTGGAAATTACTGACCTCTTGCCATCTTTCATCATAATCACAACATCACCAATATATTTAACTGCTAGGGTATTGTCATTTACGAATTTTACTATATTTTTCATTGAGAGCTTTATGTTGACAAACTAGTCTTTCCTTCCAGACATATGTGATGAGTATCCAGAATCCAAGTACTATTGGTCCTTGAATTTATCTTCATCTCTTGTTGTGACCATCAACATCATCTCTTCTTCTTCATGTTTTGCAAACTTTGCATCACTTTTTTGATTCTTTCGCTTTTCTGGACAATCACTCGAATAGTGACCATGCTTCTGACAATTGTAACATTGAATGTGACTCTAGTTAGGTTTTCGACCACCACCTCTTCCTCTATTTGCAATACCACCTCTTTGGTTGCCTTGGTATGATCTTCTTTGATTTGACATGTTTCCTTCATTCTGTTTTCCTCTACCAGTCGATTTGTTGTAGCCTCATCTACCTCTGTCGAACCATTTTCCTTTGCCTTTGGTTTCTTTTGATGAATGTTCCTGCAAAGCCACATCACTCTTCGACTTTCCTGCAACTCTTTCAGTCATTCTTTGTTCATGAGATTCAAGCGTCCCTTGAAGCTCTTCCTTTGTCAATTTCGACAAGTCTTTCCCCTCTTATATAGCCACCACCACGTGGTCGAACTTAGGAGCCAAAGATCTAAAGATCTTCGAAACAATAGCTCTTGTTGTTAATGTTTCTCCATATACCTTGATTTGATTCACTAGTTTTGTAACCCAAGTGAAGAAATCAGATATGCTCTCACTATTCCATTTGAAGCAATTCATACGTTCTCTTGTGAGTTTGTAACCTCACTTCTTTCACCTTTTCTGCACCACCAAAAGACTTCTCAAGAACCTCCCAAGTTTCTTTTGCAGATTCTGAATCATTCTCTTTTTCAAAATTTTCTCGACTCAGACATTGATGAATTATAAAGAGTGATTTGTAACTCAGCTTCTCAGATTCTGTGTGTTTCTTCTTTTCTTCTTCTGAAGCGTTTTCTCCAAGCGCTTCCAATCCATCCTTTACAGGATCCCAAAGACCTTGACACCCGAATAAAACTTCCATCTGTTTGCACAAATTCTCATAGTTGTCTACTTTCAGAATTGGTATAGTTGCTGGATAATTTGCATTCCCATAACTCGCCATCGTGAATTCTTCTTCTTCCTCAATCTTTCTTGATCGATACTTCCCTTGAATCGATTAATCGAGCTCTTGATACTAGATGTTGAAAATCCACCAAATATCTATGATGAAATTCTAACAATCTTGATGAACAAGATTGATATCACCATATAATGACAATGAATTATGAGAAAAGAAAAGAAAATAAGAAAATTATTTTCTGTAGAGTTTCTCTCTGCCCACAAATTGTGGAAAACTTTATTAATCACTTGAAACTGCAAATTATGTGATTACAATGAATTGACTTAATTACAATATTATGGGTTACTCCCTCTATTTATAAATTTAGGTTAGCCTGTTCCCTAAGTCAAAACTCAAAACTATAAAAACCCAAAATACATATTTTGGTACTAAATCAAATCTATATATTTTATATCTAAATCAAATTTATCTAAATCTAAAACCAATCAAATTTGTGTGTAGCTTCCTTCGATCCACAAATTCTTCGACTGAACAACTTTCCTTCGATCCACAAGCTCTTCGACTGAACAATTTTTCTTCGATCCACAAACTCTTCGACTGAACAATTTTCCTTCAACACACTGTTTCGACATAATCAAATTACAATTTAACATAATATTAATATTAATATTAATTACAAGTATTTTTTTTTCCAGAAAATGCTTCATTATCCTATGTCTACTTTTATTACCCTTTGTCTGCCTTTATTTAATTTTCCATCCGATCACAGCTCAAAGCTTCTTGATATAAAACAGCTAATATGTTTATTTGATATATTTTAAATAATTCTCTATTTATCCAAAACTTTTTAAAATAATTACTCTATTTTTCGGATACTTGAAGACAAAATATTGGATTTCTCGCTAATATGCCTTTTATATTAAAAGATGTGTTTTCTAAAGAATAATATAATAATATAAAATTCATATTTTCAAATGTTAAAATTTATAAATATATATATATATATTATTATTCGATAAATTTAATTTAGTTATACAGTTCGACAAGTGACCTAATAATTTAACCATGATCTAATAATCTAATCAATAAACTAATAATTTGATACTTTCACCGATTTAATGACGAGTTTAATTTTAAAAAATATTTTTTAAATGACAATATGGGTTGAAGGTCTAACCCTCTCTTGCAGGAGTGGATGATCAACTATTTATAATCAACTATTTATAATCAACTATTTATAATGATATAAAATTATTAATTAATACTACAAAAATTAGTCAAGAGTTAACAATAGGAAGAAGCATATATCATCAAGTAATGACTAAAAATGCAAAATATTTGTTTGAAAAACTAAACTGCTTCTTGGTTATACGTAGTAGATTAGTACTGGTAGTATTTTCTATAACATGCACTAGAATCAACATTAATTAAGCTTCATTCCTGTGTGCATTTTGTGAGTACGATCCAAAACTTCCTTTGGTGATTTCTCAACTTCCACACAACTACTGCTTCCAATTTCAAAGGAGGAGTTAACTTTTCTCTTTTGACTTGCTCTACAATCTTCTTCATTGTTGACTTGGACTCTGTCGAGAGGGTAGTTTATCTCTAAAGTACTCTTATCAAATATTCTTACCTCAAAATGGGTAGTGCCTTCATATCTGAAAACTAGAAGATGCCCGTGAGATAGAGAATAATACTCTTCAAACTCTTTCCAACCCTTTTCAAACCATATTTTTCCATCAATTTTCACAAAATTTATTTTCCAATCTAAACTATTCGGAGTCTTGAGACATATAGCTGTTGGTAAACCTTCTCCATATTTGTTCACAAACTTTATTGGTATCATTTGTCAAAAAAAGTAATTACAATAAGAGTATTATATTAGGTGTATAATTCGTGTTCTGTCGAAATGCTTTTATAGTGTATGTCGAATAATTTTTGTATATGTTGTAAGTTATATTCGACAGAGTTGAACACAACAGATATTAAAGTCTGTCAAAATCAAGTTTTGGGCTTTAGTATTTTGTGTAATTGAGACTGGGCATTGTTTGCCTATATAAAGGATTGTTGAGTTTGTAAATAATACATTGAGAAAATACACAGTGAGAAATAATTCACATAACAAACACTCAATTCTCTCTCTTCACTCTTCTTCTTCTTCTCTTTCCAAAATCATCTTTCTTGAAAACTCTTTGTTCCAACAAATTGGTATCAGAGCTCGGTTGCGATTCAGAGAGAATCTAATGGCAAACGGAACAACAACATTAGCACAGTTTCCAGCGAATTTACCGATTTTCAAATGTGAAAATTATCAGCGGTGGCTTGCGTAGATGAAGGTTATTTTTCAGATTTCAAGATGTTGTTGAAATCTTGAATGATGGAGTATCTGAACTAGAATCAGATGTGGTAGAAGCCCAGAAAACTGCGCACAATGATCAAAGGAAGAAAGATGGTAAATCACTATTCTTGATTCACCATTGTGTGGTTTTTGATGTATTCGAGAAAATAATTGAAGAAGAAACAACAAAAGGAGCTTGGAAAAAGCTAAAAACCTTGTATGGTGGAGATGAGAAATTGAAGAAGGTGAAGTTACATACACTAAGGAAGCAATACGAGATGCTTCAGATGAAAGAAGATGAATCAATCTCTGCATATTTCTCAAGAGTTGTGACGCTAACAAACCAGATGAAGGCATGTGGTGAATCAATTACGGATCTGTAAAAGATAGAAAAGGTGTTGAGATCTTTAATTGTAGATTTCGACTACATTATTGTGACAATTAAAGAGGCAAAAAATCTATCTGAGATGAAGTTGGAAGAACTTCAAACTTCATTGGAGGCTCATGAAATGAGATTGAAGCAGAGAAACTTAGAAAGAGAGAAGGTGAGTGAACAAGTATTGCAATCAAAATTAAGCAAGAAAGCTAGAAAAGAGAAGTCGAAGCAGCAAAAGAATCTTGCTAGTGATGAGAAGTCAAACAAGAATACAGATTCGATCAAGAAAGGTGTGGACAATAAGTATTCTGGGAAGAAAGTTGACACAAAAGAGGTGCAATGTTATAATTGTCAAGGTTTTGGTCACTATGCTAGAGATTATCGAAGAAAGAAAGTTACAAGGGAAAAAGATGGTGATGAAGCTCAATATGCACGAGCTGAAGATAGTGATTTAGATGATGTGTTGTTAATAGTGAACACTCAGTCGAACAGAGAAAAACAACATGTGGTATCTGAATTTAGGATGCAGCAACCACATGACTGACAATAAAAACTGGTTTACCAAGTTAGATGAGTCAGTCGAAAAAGTGATAAAGTTTGCATATGGCAAGCACATCAAATCAGGTAGGAAAGGAGATATTTCAATTGTCAGGAAGGATGGTCGAAAATCTACTATCACTGAAGTACTATATGTACCTTCTATGACGAATAACTTGATAAGTGTAGGTCAATTACTTGCAAAAGGCTTCAATATGAAGTCGTAGAAAAATCATATGGATGTATATAGGGCTAATGGGAGGCTAATAATGAAAGCATCATTGGCGGAGAACAAAATGTTCAAAGTTGAACTCAACACATCAGATCACAAATATCTTACTTTGACTACAGAAGAAGACAAGAATTGGCTATGGCATCACAAGTATGGACATCTAAACTTCAAAAGTTTATGCATGCTCAATCAGAAAAAGTTGGTGTTTGGGTTGTTGTATGTAAAGGAACCAGACCAGGTATGCGAGGAATGGTGCAAAGCGAAACAGGCAAGGAAGACGTTCAAACATGACATGCCCGTAAAATCAAAGCAAAAACTGGAGCTGGTTCATTCTAACGTGTGTGGACCCTTTGAAGTAAATTCGAATGGAGGTAATAAGTATTTTATTACTTTCATTGATGAATTCACCAGATATATATGGATTTAACTTATTGAAAGGAAGATTGAGGTATTCACACAGTTCAAGAAGTTCAAGTTGTATGCTGAGAAACAAAGTGGCTGCAAAATAAAGAAGTAAAAAACTGATGGTGGTGAATATACTTCTGCTGAATTTGTTAGATTTTGAAATGAGGAAGGTATAGATCATGGGGTTATTGCATCTTGTACGCCTTAGCATAATGGCATAGCTGAGAGAAAGAATAAAAGTATATTGAACATGACGAGATGTATGTTGAAAGCTAAAGATATGCCTAAGAGATTTTAGGCTGAAGCAACTTCGACAGCAGTATATATTCTAAATAGATGCCCAACAAAGAAGATGGTTGAAAAGACACCGCATGAGGCTTGGACAGGGTCGAAGCCAAATGTGAGTTATCTTAGAGTTTTTAGATCAATGTGCTTCAGACATGTACCTGAACAATTGAGAAAGAAGTTGGATGATCAAAGTAAAGTCATGGTGCTCATAGGTTATCATTCGACTGGTGCATACAAATTGTATTCGTCAAACAAAGATAAACTAGTGATCAACTGAGATGTTCTTGTAGACGAAAGCAAAGGGTGAGACTGGAGTCAAAGTCCAGTTCGATAAAAATCAGACGCGGTCACAACTGTGTTGGACAAAGATGAATAGAACGAAGCTTCGACAAGTCAAAATGAACAAGGTGATACTTCAACTAGTCGAAATGAAGAACCACCTGTGGAGAATGAAAGAGGGTCGACAAGAACAAAAACTGAGTTGACCAGGCTAACTGGATATGAAAGGTTTCTAGATCAAGCAGTCGATGTAAATGGTGACTTAATCGAAGAAGCCATGATGATGGCTGACGCAGAACCAATTGACTTGGGCGAAGCCTTGAGAAATTCTAATTGGTGTGAAGCCATGAAAGAAGAACTTAGAGATATTGAGAAGAACAAGTCCTTGGAGCTTATCGAAAGAACCAACAAGAAATGAATCAATGTAAATTGAATTTACAAGGTGAAATGAAGGCCAAATGGTGAGATTGCGAAGTATAAAGCAAGACCGGTGGCCAAAGGTTTTCTACAAAAACCTGGTATTGACTTCGACGAAGTATATGCGCCTGTTGCGAGGTTAGAAACAATAAGAATTGTTGTTTCGACAGTAACATATAGAGGATGGAAAATGCATCAATTAGATGTAAAGTCAACATTCTTGAATGGTCCATTAGAAGAAAAGGTCTACGTTACTCAAACACCAGGATTCGACGTCAAAGGGCAGGAGTCGAAAGTATATAGATTAAGGAAGGCTCTCTATGGTTTGAAGCAAGATCCTAGAGCTTGGAAAATGAGGATAAATAGCTTCCTGATCGACGCAGGATTCATAAATTGTGTCTCTAAACATGGAGTGTATGTAAATAATATCGAAAATGTCAGTCGAATCATTTTATGCCTCTATGTTGATGACTTAATCATTACAGGAGCACACGAAGCTGAGATAAGGAAGGTAAAGTCGAAATTAATGCAGGAATTCGAAATGTCTAACTTAGGGAATCTCTCATATTTCCTAGGGATGGAATTCAAAGACACTGAAGAAGGAGTTTTATTGCATCAAACGAAGTAAGCTCAAGATTTTTTGAAGAGGTTTAAAATGAGCAACTGTAAGGCAATTGTCTCTCCGTTAGAAACTGGATCAAAGTTAAAAAAGGAAACAGATGATGAGTTTGTAAGTTTGACCCTTTACAAACAAATCATTGGATCCTTGAGATATATTTGCAATACTAGACCAGATATATGTCAAAATGTAGAACTGTTGAGTAGATTTATGGAGAAACCACAAGAATGTCATTTCATCGCATTAAAGAGGGTGTTGAGATACATAAAGGGAACTATTGATCACGGTGTGATGTTACCAAAGAAGTCGAAGAACATCACAAATGCGAAGTTCATGGTTACACTGACTCAGATTTCAGTGGAGGTCAAGACGAAAAGAAAAGTACTGCAGGCTACATTTTCATGATTGAAGGTGCTTCAATCTCTTAGAGTTCGAGGAAGTAAAGCATTGTGGCTTTGTCATCATGCGAAGCAGAATATGTGACTGCATCATATGTTGCATGCCAAGCAGCATGGATCGAAATTCTACTTGAAGAACTCAGGATAATGGAACCTAAGAAGATGAAGTTGTTTGTCGACAACAAGTCAGCTATAAACCTGGCGAATCACTCAGTTTGTCATGGTCGAAGTAAACACATAGAAATAAGGTATCATTTTCTGAAGGATCAACTCAACAAATGGAAGCTTGAGATAAAATATTGCAAGACAAAAGTGTAACTGACCGACATATTTATCAAACCTCTGAAGAAAGTCAGATTCGACGAGTTAAAGAAAAGCATTGAGATGAGAAGTCTCGAGAACATGAATTAGAGGGTGAGTTAGATGTATAATTCGTGTTGTGTTGAAATGCTTGTGTAGTGTATATCAAATAGCTTTTGTATAGGTTGTAAGCTATATTCTACCGAGTCGAATACAGCAGATATTAAAGTCTGTCAAAATCATGTTTTGAACTTCAATTCTCTCTCTTCTCTCTTCTCTCTTCTTTTTCTTCTTCTTCTCTTTCCAAAATCATCTTTCTTAAAAATCCTTTGTTTTAACATTATACTATTTGTCTCGCTTTACAAATCACAAATTTTCTTCTTTACTCTAATGGAAGTTTGTCCCTAGAAGATCACATGTGTTTGTATCCATGAACACTAAAAAAAAATTGAAAAAATGAGAAGAAATGAGAAGTATTGTTTTCAACTTGAAGTGTTAAACTTTCTATTGTATGGTTTCACTAGTTTGGGATACTAGATTGTTCTATAGCTAGTTAAAGTAACATGGATTATATACAAAACAACATAACATGATGATGATGATTAAGATAAAGACTATTACTAATACAAAGAAAGAATCTAAATAAGAGACTTACAA